TGTATAAGATCGCATTGCCTATTCCACAAACAACTTTAACGCTGCCCCCGTACAACCGCCCACCAGCCATCCAACAGGGAGATGCAGCTCTCATGACAACCACAACAATAGACAGCTCTGAAATCAAGCAAATGATAAAAGTAATGTTCCATCTCTCTTCCATGGTACGTCAACAACATCCTAGCCTGGGCTGAGGTTCAGGGGAGGTCTGAGAACTAGCTAGCATTGGGTGGACATGGAGTCTTTCTCTGGGAGGTTTTGCCCTCACAGTGGTCAGGGGCCTCATGGGCACAGCTGGTGAGAAACATTTTTTCCCTTGAAAATTGTTTTCATCTCAATTCTCTGTGGAAAATTTAGATGTTTCGGTGGAAATTCAAAAATTAAAATATTTTAGGCAAAAAGAGACATATTTTAATCAAAATCCAAAATACTTTGCTTTGAAAATGCTGCCGCAGTGCCTTGTGGGCGCTGTAGTTTGGGTGCCTCCCATTGTCCTCTCTAGGCCGGGCGCTATAGCTGGACTACATCTCCCACGATGCACCACTGTCTCGCCTAATGCGTAATGTGTGTGCTGCAGAATGTGCTGTAGCAACTGTGTAAAAACAAGCGAAGTCTTAGCAGTACAATACACCACGCTCGGATAGCACCTTCCATTCACGGATTTCACAGCCCTTCATAAACCTCCCGAGAGCTCGCTACAGAACGCTGCTGTGAAATCCTGGCTGTGAGAAGTAAGGAGGAAACTAACATGTTTGAATTGTAGTGTGCGAATTAGCGAAGGGTGGATGAGTGAGGTGCTGCTTTATTATAATTGTGCCCAAAGGAAAGGGCTAATATACTTTCTGCAAGATAATAATGCAATTGCTTGGGACTCCAATACTGGCCTTCATCGGAAGAGCTCACAGCACTTTGCAAACTGTCATTGTCTGAGGGTGGAATTTTAAAAGCTCTCGGCGTTGACCTGAGTTTGCCGCCAGTGATGTCCAAGGTAAAACTCCAGTTGACTTCACTGGGGGCAGAATATGGCCCATGCTGTGTGCGTTTGAAAAGCATGTACATAAGAACACGACAACAGCCATACTAGGTCAGACCAAAGGTCCATCTAGCCCAGTATCCAGTCTTCCGGCAGTGGCCAATGTCAGGTGCCCCAGAGGGAATGAACAGAACAGGTAATCATTAAGTGATCCATCCCCTGTTGTCCATTCCCAGCTTCTGGCAAACAGAGGCTAGGGACACCATCCCTGCCCATCCTGGCTAACAGCCATTGATGGACCTATCCGCCATGAACTTATCTAGTTCTTTTTTCATAGAACCATAGAAGATTCAGGTTGGAAGAGACCTCAGGAGGTCATCTAGTCCAATCCCCTTATCAAAGCAGGACTAATCCCTGCTTTTGAACCCTGTTACAGTCTTGGCCTTCACAACATCCTCTGGCAAAAAGTTCCACAGGTTGACTGTGCGTTGTGTGAAGAAATACTTCCTTTTGTTTGGTTTAAACCTTCTTCCTATTCACTTCATTGGGTGACCCCTAGTTCTTGGGTTATGAGAAGGAGTAAATAACTTTCCCCACATCAGTCATGATTTTATAGACCTCTATCATATCCCCACTTAGTTATCTCTTAACCAAGCTGAAAAGTCTCAGTCTTATTAATCTTGCCTCATAAAGCAGCCGTTCCATACCCCTAATCATTGGTGTTGCCCTTTTCTGAACCTTTTCCAATATATCTTTTTTGAGATGGGGCGACCACATCTGCACGCAGTATTCAAGATGTGGGCGTACCATGGATTTATATAGAGGCAATAGGATATTTTCTGTCATTATCTATCCCCTTTCTGAAGGTGAGCATTCAGATCCTGCTCCACACAGGGAAATGGGAGTTCAGAGGGATGGACACTCCTGAGATTTTACACATCTTGGGTGTGCTAATATCCGGGTGTCCACTTTGAGGTCACTTATTTGGATGCACTCCTCTGGGACAATGCAGATCACAAGGGCCAGGATGAAATGCGTGAGAGCTTGGGACAAACCAGATTCAGCTCAGGGGACCCAGACCTGAACCAGCTTCCAGGGGAGATCAGGTGAATCCAGAGTCTGGACATCTTTAGGAAACGCTGCAAAACCGACCTCTTTGAAAAAGCCTTTATTCCATAATAACATTCACAGCCCTGACACCACCTACAACTCCTACCCCCCAACCCTGACACCCAAAACATCAAAACAAAAACCTTCACCTAGCCCACGTTTTGACCCAGAAAAGGGGAAATGTGCCAGAGACTCTGTGAAATGCAGTAGAGATTTCTCTATTGATTTGATGTGGAAGGTGCCCAGATGCTCCAATGATGGGTGGCAGGATAAAACCCTTAGATAGATAGACGGGGCATTTGGGGATGGATGGATGGACTTTGGTACCTAAAAACTGAGTGCTCAAATTGCGGCCACTTGGAAAATTTCAGCCTGAATGATTTGCCCATGATCATGCAGTGAGTTGGTGACAGAAGAAGTGGTGAATGGATTTCCCTCCCTCTCTGTCATATACCGCTTTACCAGCAGTTGTAATGAAATAGTCCCATGGCAAAATCTCCACATAGCTGTTAAAAGGAATAGTGTGGAACGAACCTGTATCCGCCAGTAAAACTCTGCCAGACCCTCTGTTATGACACCTGTGGAGGCAGAGTTTGGGGGGAGGGATAGCTTATCAGTCACATGACAGGTGGCATTTGCAGGATCGGGCCCTGCAAGTGTGTTCTCCATTTGTAGGTGCTCGCAGAAGAAAATGGAGAGCAGCCCATTCCGCAAACCCTCTTTCTGAGCATTCCCTCTCCCCGCTGGTTCTCTAGCAGGCACAGCAGTCTTCCATGTATGGATCCTCGCAAGGAGCCGTGTGACTGGAGGGAAGGTGCCTTTATCTCCCCTGCTAATCACATGAATAAGCCGCAGCAAACACCAAGGCCTTGCCAGCGGATGCAGAGAGTCCCTTTCCCCCCACTATGCCGCTTAATTTGCTAGAGAAACCCACTGAGTGGTGACCTTTCCAGGCCCCACGTCACGCCCCAGAGACTTCGCTCCTGTCGCACAATCAACAACAACGAAGAGGAGTGTGTTGTTCTTTTCAACACCCCCTCCAGGCATTCGTGCGAAGCAAGCACAGCAGTGAAGCAAAACAAAGACGTGAGAGAAGGAGCCGTGAAAGGGGAGGAAAATGGGGGTTTATCGGAGAAGGGTGACAGGGGCCAGGGCGGGCTGAGGGCAGAGGGATTGAACCGTGAGACTTTGAAATAGCTGAAATATTGGCTGTGTTCAGCAGGTCAGTAATGGCCGCATGTTTCCAGCCCGTATTCATGGGAGCGCTGCCTTGTACTGCCTATTCCTTAGGATGATTGGGAGAGCAGCTACCGCAGCAGCCATCCAGTGCTCAGGTCGTCCTGAACTGGGCCAGGCCCCAGGCAGCTGTGGCATGGATGCCTGCCGAGTCCTCTGGAATTTCCATCCCCTGAGTTCCCATCCTGGGACCCATGGTTCCACCAGTGCCCTCCAGCAAAGATCCACACTGGGAATCGAAACCTCAACCCCCAGAGGGACCAAGCTAGTCCCACCAGGGCTGATCCCTGCCACACTGGACCCCCTTCTTCTCCAAACAACCGCCAGGATCTCTGGCAGCCAGCCTCTAGGGGAGAGTCCATGGTGCCTTCTACCCATCTCTCCATTGTTTCTGCTGCGGGTGCTCAGCTTCAGATTTTTTTCAGAGACATCTGTTCCCTCTGCCCTGTAGCTTCAGACACTGGGGTGGGGCAAGGGAAATTGGCTTCTTGCTGATCCATCTGATGGGTATCAGGGGAGCAAGTGGCCTGGCAGAACCCCACAAACTCACCCCTGTGCCCTTCTGACAGCAGCGTGAACGTGAGATGCACCGGAGCGCATGGGTAGATGCCCCTTCTTCCAACAGCACCGCCCTATGTCGCCAGTTAACTTGAAGACTCTTCTTGGGTCTGCCACACCAGGCTGCAAAGCTCATACAAACACGCACATCCATGAGCTTCCCAATGCTTCCTGCCACCAGGCTGGGCTAGAACCAGAAGGTCTGAGATGAAACCTCAGCCTCATGGGAAGCTCCCTTTTAATGTCAGTTCATGTGGTTTGCAACACCATCCAACCTCCCCTGGAGTCTCCAGGCTCAAATTAAAGTGGAGCCTGGTTCACCTGCTGACTTTCACATCGCAAAACGGTGCGACAGGTTTGTCTGGCTGCAACAGGACCAAACCACGGACTGCCCAGAATCTAACCTTGGGCTTGCATGAAAATACAGGCTTGGCCTGGCTTGGAACTTGGGCTCAGATGCATTTGTCACCCATCCTCCCAGGTGCACGGAAAACTTCTCAGACTGGCTTGAAACTTGGGCTCTGGGTTCCCAAGAAACTTGAGTTCCAGGCTGGGAACCTCAGCAGACTTTCTGGTAATGCCGATCTGAGTCTGGGGCTGGTAATGAAACCTGAAATACGTCAAGTTTCCCCTGGGTTCATTGCTAATATTTTCCACAGGTGCCATAAAATGAAAGCGGAATCATTTGAGCCCTTTTTTGAACTGCTCCATGGCTTTGGGTTTGAATCCAAGCCTGGGAAAGAATCATAGATTCCAAATCCAGAAGGGATAGCTGTGATCGCCTAGTGTGACCTCCTGTATAGCACCAGGCAATAGGACTTACTGAAATAATTCCTGTGTGAACTAGAGCATATCTTTTTGGGTCTATGTGGCAATTCTTGCATATCCAGATCCAGTGAGTCAAGAACCTCTGGTGGCTTGGAGCAGACCAGCATAAATAAAATAACAGCAACAGACATCTTGTTTTTGTCTAGAGGAATTTCCCTGTGAGTCTCGCCTGTTTCCCAAAATACCTTGACATGTTGTTTTCGCCTCTTGCGTATTGATTCTTGAAGCTGTCACTGGGACAGACATTGAAAAGGGCCTTGCAAAAACCTCTCTCAAGAGAGAAAGCTCTCTCAGCTGCCTTTTTAATTAATTAATTTTATTTTTATTTTCATGAGCTGCCTCAGGGCTGGAGTAAGGGATCGTTTGTTTCAAGCCTGACTGTCGCGGACTGCCTAATTTTCTCATTATTTTGCACTTAATCATTTCTCGTTGATACGGCCCTGGATGGCGTTTTTGATGCGAGGATTCCGTGCCGAAACCTAATAACCAGCTGATGAAAAATTAATTGTTTCCTCCTGTAAAGAAAATAAATAAATGAATAAACATTAGCAGATAAGCCAGCGACATGCACAAAATAATGGAGTTTGCCTGAATATGCATGTGGAGTATCAGATCGGAACGAGAGCTGCTTGAATTATTTGTTGCGGGTAATTTATCAGATGGATACACCCTGTACTTCTGTTTGCAGGTTGTAAACAGACTGAGATTTTTAAAAATGTATTTGTTAGTTGTTTGAAATAAATATTTTAATATATTTATGAACAAATTTCAGTTTATGGATCACTGGCAAACTGCTACTGTTATTATTATATGTCATTTGAAAAAGCGCTTGGTGCCTCATACTTTGGGATTTGGATGGTCTAAAGCAGTGGTTCCCAAACTTGTTCCGCCGCTTGTGCAGGGAAAGCCCCTGGCGGGCCGGGCCGGTTTGTTTACCTGTTGCATCCGCAGGTTCGGCCGATCAGGGCTCCCACTGGCCGTGGTTCGCTGCTCCAGGCCAATGGGAGCTGCTGGAAGCAGTACGGGCCGCCGTTTCCAGCAGCTCCCATTGGCCTGGAGCAGTGAACCGCAGCCACTAGGGTGACCAGATGTCCCGATTTTGGGATCTTTTTCCTATATAGGCGCCTATTACCCCCTACCCTCTGTCCTGATTTTTCACATTTGCTGTCTGATCACCCTAGCAGCCACTGGGAGCCACAATCGGCCGAACCTGCGGACGTGGCAGGTAAACAAACCGGCCCGGCCTGCCAGGGGCTTTCCCTGCACAAGTTTGGGAACCACTGGTCTAAAGAGCTTACTGGATAGACCCTGATCCTGCAGAGCCTCACACACATGCTTAATTTCACATGTGTGAGCAATCCCTTCCAGGATTGGTGTCTGATTTCATCTGGCATGCTTAAAGGGAAACAGAACATTGGGGAGGAACAAGGCTGGTAGACAGGGTCATGGCTGTGGCTCCAGCCAAGGCCAACCTGCATGGTTGAACAAACCCCTGTGGAATAGATTGTGATCAGCACATGGACAGAGTGAAAGCATCTTGTGCACACTAAGCATTTCCTGGTTAACTGGCTTCCTGTGGCTATGGGGCAAGTGGGCTTGTATGAAGGGGGTGAGGTTCACTAAAAGCAAGCTGTGAGCTGGTAGCTTTCACAATATGCTGTTCAAACACTGTCCACACACTTCAAAACACCTTTCTCCCCAGCTGGGCTGTGCCTAGGATTCCTCCATGAGGACTGCTCAGCCCACACTCTAGATCCTCTATATTCCAGAACCACTCCTACTTCCTTTACATCTGTGTGGGGCAGTGAGCTACCTTGCCTACTCAGCAGAATGCACTTAACCCCTTTCTCAGCAGCAGCATCTCCCAATTACAGGGCAAACACCTGCAACGTGTTCATGGTTATACCTGACATTTGTTTTGAAATAGGCACTGCTCGCATTCCCTGACTGGTGACCTAACTTATGGAAACCCCTTCCACTTCCATGCGATAGTAATTCCCGTTTGTGACTCATGGACTCTTGGAGACAGGCCCCAAATTTGCTTCCCCCCAGCATTGGTGGAAACAAGCTTCATGCTCATGAATGTTCACGGACAGTGGAAGGTGTAAATGTAACCAGAGCCCACCAGATCCGTGTCTACTGACATGCTCCTTTCCAGGTCTGACCTGTGTCTGTGATCTTGGTGAATACCACTCCTCTCTTAGTGCAGTCTATGGGCCCAGTGCTTCCAGTTATGCCTGTAGGGGGAGCCAGAGAGCAGAAGCGGTGCAGACAACAATAGAGGCTGGGGGTGGAGACTGTCTGGTGTGAGCTTCCCAGCCCCCAAGCCCATTTGCAACCTATGGCTGCCGCCTGACTGGGATTCAAAGATGGAGACGTCAGCCCTGCAAAGGGGATGGAGTACCACAGCAAATTGCCATGCAGGTTTTCATCCGACAGTTACTCACCATGGTGGTGTGTGGGCTTCCTGCAGGTCACGGTGGGAGAACCAATGGCTACATGAAGCCATGTTGCTGGGCCAGAAATGGGACCTAGAGAGAATCCTGGGCTGGAACTTGATTTTTCGACAAAACATTTTTTCACTGGAAAATGCCGACTCTCCAAAACCGAAGCAGTTGTGGGAACAGGTCACTTTCAACACATTTCCTGTTTCAAAAATTGTTTGGGGAACGAAAAAATGTTACAAAATGCTTGAAATGCCCCTTTTTGACAGCTTCAAAATGAAAAGTTCCATTTGTTGGTTCAGAATGAACATGGTTCGAGTCAACTTTTTATTCTGAAATTTAAGTTAATTCGTTGTAAAAAAAAGTTAAAATGAAGAAGAGTTCTGTGTAGCTCGAAAGCTTGTCTCTCTCACCAACAGAAGTTGGTCCCATAAAAGATATTACCTCACCCACCTTGTCTTTCTAAACTGAACAGAAACATTTTGTTTGACGTGATTCAATTTTTTTTTGAGTGTTTTGGTTCACAATTTTTTTTGAGATTTTGACTTTTTGTCCCGATTTTGAACAGGATTTTTTTTTTCAGCCTTGAAAATTCTTGCAGGACAGAAAATTTGTTTCCTGCCTACTGATTTCCCCACAGACTCTTGGAAGCAGGAGCAGGAGGGTCACAGTGATTTCTCCTGGTTGCTTTTCTCTTCTTGCAAGTGACATAGCATCAGAAATGTTCATAGGTCCATCAAGTCTGGTGTCCTGTCTCTAGTACAGGGCAGTAAAAGATGATATGGAGGAAGGTACAAGAAACCCTCATAGTTCCTGATCCTGCAAAACATTTAACTCAATAGGACAAAGTGACAAGCTTAAAAACTAAGCAAGTTCTTTCCTGGGTTGGTGCCTTATGGGTTAACCTGCCCAGGGGGATTTCTGTGGGAGCCCAGCATCAGGCCCAGAATTTAATCTAGCCTGCTTCATTGAACTAGGCTTTGGAGAAAACAGCAATGTGACATAGGCCTGGTCTACACTGGGGGAGGGGTTGATCTAAGACACGCAACTTCAGCTACGAGAATAGCGCAGATGAAGTCGACGTATCTTAGATCGACTTAGATTGACTTACTTCGCGTCCTCACAGCGCGGGATCGACGGCTGCCGCTCCTCCGTTAACTCCGCTTCTGCCTCTCGCCCTGGTGGAGTTCCGGAGTCGACGGGGAGTGCGTTTGGGGATCGATGTATCGCATCTAGACGAGACGCGATACATCGATCTCTGATAGATCGATCATTACCCACCAATCTGGCGGGTAGTGTAGACATATCTATACTTCCACAAACAAAGAAAAAGGAAGGTGTGACTGTTTTGGGAATGCCCTGCAATATCCTGGGCAAACCTTATTGAATTAAATTAAGCTTCATTGAATTAAGCTTAAGTAGGTTAGGAGTTCCTTGTATTAAAAATGCAAAAGTGTATGTGTTATTGTGGGACTGCATGGAACTTATTTGGGAGGCAGACATGATTCGTGCAATCTCTGGGAAGCACTATGCATGTCAAAGAACTCTTTGGGACAATACCTGTGAAGTGGGTTTCCTAGGAGATACTTGGGAGACCTTTTGAAGCCATGCCCTGGGGAGGGTCGCATAATCTAATTCAATTCCCTCTGCTCCAGGGACTAAATAGACAAAGAGAGGATTTTTGGTGGTATCCTGACCCAATGGCTTTTTTTCTCATCCAGCAAATGGACAGGACCTCCAGTGAATGGAGGGCTCCCATCCTTGGGTAAGGGTTGGAAGGACTTTGGCGTTCTGAGGCTCCATAAATTGGGTTCTTGTTCTGAGCAAAGGGGGTGATGAACTTGAAACCAAGGAACCTCCGAGTGGGGTTAGATGGACTGCTTCCCTGCCAGAGCCATGTTGGAGCTGTGGTGACCTTTGGTAAGCATTATAGCATGCGTGTAGGGTCTTTTATTGTTTTTAATCTGTTTTCTCTGCATGCCTCGTACCTGAAAAATAAATGTTCATGCTTAGAAAGAGCTGTGTTGTTACTTGTAACTGGTGGCAATGACTCTGTGATTAGCCTCTGAAGAGAAAGCAGAGTGCGGATGTTGGCCATGTAGGCAGGCTGCCTTGCTGGGGAATATCATGGTATAGTCAGGGAACTGTTCAGCCTGGAAATACTCCAACCAGAAGGGAGAATGACATGTGTCTCACCCAAAAGAGGCAGAGTGGGTGCCGTTGCTAGACCATAGAGCGGCAATATAAGAAGGACGTGGAAAAATTGGAAAGAGTCCAGTGGAGGGCAACAAAAATGATTAGGAGGCTGGAGCACATGACTTAATAGGAGAGGCTGAGGGAACTGGGATTATTTAGTCTGCAGAAGAGAAGAGTGAGGGGGGGATTTGATAGCTACTTTCAACTACCTGAAGGGGGGTTCCAAAGAGGATGGATCTAGACTGTTCTCAGTGGTAGCAGATGACAGAACAAGGAGCAATGGTCTCAAGTTGCTGTGGGGGAGGTTTAGGTTGGATATTAGGAAAACTTTTTCACTAGGAGTGTGGTGAAGCACTAGAATGGGTTACCTAGGGAGGTGGTGGAATCTCCTTCCTGAGAGGTTTTTAAGGCCCGGCTTGACAAAGACCTGGCTGGGATGATTTAGTTGGGGTTGATCCTGCTTTAAGCAGGGGGTTGGACTAGATGACCTCCTGAGGTCCCTTCCAACCCTGATATTCTATGATTCTATGATTGATTCTAATACAGATGCAGTTGCCCTGAACTGTGGCGAAAGGCACAATTTACTACACTCAGCTGCTGGAGGAGACAGAATAAATTTCAGGGTCAAGTGGAACTGTCGAAAGGCAGCTTTATAGATTGTGAGTATGTGTGTAGCAGCCAGGGCCTCACCTCTGTCAATCTATTACTCAGCAGAGCTGAGAACTCTCCTTTGCGACACATTGATTCAGTTCAGAAGACGAGTCTACTGATTCTTAATTCATTTGAACAGGTCTGTCTCATCCTGGATTCCTGATGCAGCCACGGGAAAGGGGCAGAACATTCTTCAAAATTGAAAAGGGAAGCAACTCTTTTATGACTTAGAAAAGAAAGAGATTCACACTGGAAGACACAGGGAGGGATGTATCAGAATGAAGCAGAAAGCCATTCTTTTCTCAGTTAGGTCTCACCATTTTTTCTTTGCCACTCTTCCTTGTTTGATCTACAGTTGGGTGGGAAATGTTTTTCCCATCCCATGAGTGTGTTCAAGATTTAAACAAATGTTTCCATCCCAGAATCGGACAAAATATCAATCATGCAAATTTTCAAGGACTGATTAAAAAAAAAATAGATCATGTTGATCAGAAGGTTTTGTTTCCATTATTTCCAAAGGTTTCGTTTTGATTTTGACTTTCTTTTAAACATAGGAAGTGTTCTCTAGCCTTTGTCTTGAGTTAGCATTTCAGGGGTGATTGGAATGAGTGTTAGCAATCCGTCACAGGCAATGGCGGGATTGCGTGAGCTGCAGGGAAATGTGGAATCTAGAAAAGAGGACTGTTCCGTGCATAATTTACAAATCTCATGTATTTTATGGGGTGGAAAATTGGAGCAAGGGATTAATAGTTTTCTCTGGTTCTTGGAATACCTTTGGAGAAGTGGGATTCAAAACTCACCAAGAGGCAGGGCTAACCTGGAAGATGACTTTCTCCTTTTTGGACTCTTACTGTAGTTCATGATCAAGACTGGTGTAGTATTCAGCAGGACTTGAGGGGTTGCCGTTAGATTTCAAGGAAAGTGGGATTCAATGTAACACTCTCACCGCTGCTGTTCCCAGCCTCTGTAGCATCCTGGAGATAGATTAGTGTTTGAATGCAACATGATGCCATGTTAGTATCTCTTTCAGCTCATGGTGAAAAGTCACATTTTGGGCCCAGCTGTTCATCCATAGAATCATAGACTATCAGGCTTGGAAGGGACCGCAGGAGGTATCTAGTCCAACCTCCTGCTCAAAGCAGGACCAATCCCCAGATAGATTTTTGCCCCAGATCCCTAAATGGCCCCCTCAATGATTGAGCTCACAACCCTGGGTTAACAGGCCAATGCTCAAACCACTGAGCTATCCCTCCCCCCATGGTCTTAGCTCAATAGAGAGAACTCTGAGGGCTGAAAACGAGAGGAAAGAACCTTGAAAATATCTTGCAGCAGGAGGAAAAGAAGACTCCTGTCACTTGCAAATGAAAACAGGGGCATATGGCTTGGAGCGTTTCAATGCCTAATTAAATACGCTTTATACTCTATGTTAATTACACAATGGTCCCTGCTGGGGAAAGGATGGCTTTGCAGAGAGCCGGTGCTGATGAACATCTCATTTCATCACTGCTAGAGCAGGCCCATCCCTTCGTGTCGCTCCCTTATGAATAAAGATGTTCCTGGCTGCTGTCCTTGAAGTGGACACACAGAAGGGAAACGAAAAAGACTCGGTCTCAGACAGCATCGGCATGACCAAAGAAGACAGAAGGGCAGTTCCAGGGAAAGGCAGAGATTCCCATTGTTTTGCAGGCAAAGTGGATTTATATTATAAGAGCAGTTGGCATTTATGTAGCCCCTTTTGTCAGTGGGGGGAGGTGTTATCTTCATTTTACAGATAGGGAAACTGAAGTATGGCAACATTAAAGTGACCAAGGTCACCCAGCAGCCGAGCGAGGACTAGAACCTAGGTCTGCTGAGTTCATGACCAGGGCACCAGCTACAAGGACACACTGGCTTTAATGGGGGAAGCATGTGTAAGTGGGGGAATGGTCCCGCTATTGTGGGGAACTTTCCTGGCTTCTGCACTACCCCGGTGAAGTGGGCTAGCGAAAGGATCCGAGTCCTCGCTCCCACTTCCTTTACCCAGAGGCCTCCCTGCCCTTGAGGGCTCCCCTTCCACTCTCCTGTCTGGCAGTGTCCTCGTAAACCCCGACAAGGCTGGGCCCAGGATTCCTGGGGCGCTCGACCCCCAACCCTGCTGTGGTCACCCAGGACAGGGGCTAGGGTGTCCCCACTCCGGGGTACTCTCTCTGTACTGGGCACCTCCCTGACCCACTGATCATTTCATACAATTTAAAGCAAATACAAGTTGTTTAATTAACAATTTAAAAAAGAAT